ACAGGTCCTGTCACATGATGACCTGCTTTATGAGTGTCCTGACATGATTTACACTGCTTTCATCTCCAAAAGATTGCATCAGAATGTGCAGAGATACAAATGTAGAATCTTTTGGCAAGGTTATATAGTTATAATTACTATGTTTCAATTCTCATAAATTCACAGTTGCACAGGCCTACTGAATGCCAAAATGGCACTGGCTATTCTCAGATCTTGGTTTCCCCTATTTATTTTTCCGAGGAATACATATTCCTGTCTCATAGAATTAGAAAAGGCTCTTCAAGCCCAATCCTCTGCTTAACAGACAGCATTTTCCAGCCCCCCATTTCTCCAATTTGCAATCTCAAAAATATTTTCATACTCACATCTCCTCCAAAGTCTGTTTCAGCTGGAGGACCACCATTAAAGTACCTGAAAATGGAAAGAAGAAATCCTTAGAAAACAAAAGAAGAGAAAAGTTATCCTCAATAATATGGCACCAGAAATCCAGGGATGATAATAATAAATCATGGTAAAACAGTAAAAAAATTGAAATACTAAATGACTAAATCATCAGGAGCCATCAGATTTCTGGGCATTTTGCAATTAGATAATATCAAGCATGGACCACTTAAAAATAAGTTTAGTAAAGAATATATCCAAAGGGTGAGAAAACTGCTAAATACAAAATTCAACTGTGGAAACATCAACAAAGCCATTATCAAAGCCTGGGCTAAACCTGTGATGCAATACACTGCTGGAATTATTAACTGGACACAAACTGAACTGGACAGTTTGGATTGAAAAAAAAGAAAACTAATGAGCATGCATTACATCCCTGTAATGATATAATATTATACCTGCCCCCCAGAAATGGAGGCATAGGTTTACTTTAAGTCAAACAAACTGTTGAAGAAGAAAACCATGCATTAGCTGATTAGAAAAGAGAACCAAGAATAGGCATTGATGCAAGTTAAAAGTGAACTTACTGAATACGCAGGAAACAAAATATGAATACCAAAGTAATGTAATGAAAAAGTACAGAATGTTGGCAAGGGGAAAAATTATATGGTCAATTTCTACAAAAGATAGAGGGGGAAAGCAGATAAAGATAAAACTTGGCAATGGCTTAAAACTAGAAGATTAAAAAAAAGAAACTGAAGGCTTGATTTTGGCTGCTCAAGAAAAAGTTATATGAATTAATGCAATCAAGGCCAGAATTGAAAACTTGTTAAATGATCTAAACTGCACATTGTGCAAAAAGACAGAAGAAACTGTAGATCAGGGGTGTCAAACTGCCAGCTCGAGGGCTGGTTTCATCAAACTGAAGCCGCCCCCATCCCATTGGCGGCAATGCAAAAAGAGTCACGATACGTTGCAACACATCACATGACGTGGCGAGTTTGACACCCGTGCTGTAGATCATACTCAACTTGTGCAAGAATATTGCACAAACTGATTATAAACAACAAAACACAGTAGCGAAAATGATTCACTGGAACATTTGTAAAAATTATCATCTGCTATTACTGAGAAATCGGTGGGAACATAGAGTTAAAAAAGTAGAAAAGGAGCAGGTTAAATTGTGATATTTCTAAATACAACTGATAAAGTCTTGGCTCATAACATCTAATGTAACTGTGGTTAGAAAGAAGAAATTATGGATAATCAATGTGGCAACACCGGGCAATGGTAGAAGAAAAAGAACTGAAGATCACAAAAGGAAAATCACAATTGGAAGATTATGGCATAAAAATGGCTCTGGTTGTCCCAGTGGTTATTTGGCACAATATGTGCCTGACCAAAAATTTCCGGTGGCACACAGAAAACACACATATTGACAAAATTTCAATCTGTCAACTACAAAAGGCTTGTTTGGATCTGCACACATATATGCCAATACATTACAACATCCTGGATTCTTGAGAAGAACTTGATATGTATGAAGGCCAATACCAGCTAAGGAACTGGCAATGGGATTTCACATTTCTGTGTACCTGTATCAGTGATGACAAACTGATAATATGCATGTCACCAGTGACACACCACACAATTTTTGGTGACATGCTAGGCTTCTGGACACTCTGGAAATCACAGAAGAGGGCTTTGTTCTTGGGCAGCTTCTTTGGCATTTGAAATTCGTGCAAGCATTCTCATGTGATTTTCTAAGGCTCCAGGGGCCCTGCAAGAGCAGCGGCCTCTTGTACAATTTTCAAAGGCTCTGGAGAGGAGAATCTGGAGGAGAGAGTCTGGACAGGAGATGTACAGAAGCCTGTTTTGTTGTAGGGTGGGTGGGAAGGTTGACATGCCAGCAGAGTCAAGGTAGCCATTTTCTAAATTTTTGACATGCCAAGCCCAAAACATTTGCCATCACTGACCTATAGTAATTTATTAAACTTGTATGCTGCTCAACTCTCAAATGACTCTGGGCATATCACAACAACAACAATACAATAAAATCAATAAAACAAAGATAAAAGGGAGCAAGCATGATGAAGCATATGGTCTTACTTTCCCTCATCAAAAGTCTGAGTGAATGAAGATCCAGATCTTCAGACCTCTTCTAAACAGCTGTGGGGACCATTTGGACCTCAGGGGGAAGATCCAGATCTCTTTTTTCAGAGTGCAGGCACTGCTACATAGAAGGCACCCTTATAGGGTCCTGAGAGGTCACTACTTAATTAAATGCACCAACCCTGATCAGATTTTATGGGAGCCAGGCAATCCCTCAGCAATCTGGCTCTATATCATGCACAGCTTTATAGACAAAACCCAACATCTGTTTTTTTTTGCTTTTATCTTGCTCAGGATACATTGAAATCATTAAAGTGCATGAATGGTATTCTGGTTCAGTTATTTAATATGTTTTATCATCTGCCAGTTTGGTAGAGCTAAGAATAAATTGTAAAAACTCTTAGTGCTACCTAAGACATTTTCTTATCTGAGGCAAATAAAGTGATATTATGCCTTCCTGGTTTTTACAGAAGGAGTTGATTGGAGAAACTTTATAACATTGGTAACAAGATAGTTAGTTTAGATTAGCTACAGGCTTAGGACATGGTATATAGCTGGAAAGCTCTGTATCTGTTATCTGACAAGACTCCCTCACTTTGACTAATGGTAGTGATTACTTTGACACTGCATATATTGTTTTATCTAATTTAAATGTTGTGAATCTATTATCAGTTTGGGTTTGTTAATTTAATCTGGGATGTTCATTTTATTCTCAATTTATCTTCTTCTAGGCTGCCTGAGACTTCACCATTTGCAATCTAGAAGGTTATTCTTTCTATACATTTGAAATTCTTTTCTTCAACTAAGAAAAAATGAGCCCTCTATTTTACTACCAACTGTGTTCTAACATACTCCAACATAGAAATGCATCACATATATTTCATCAGAAGAGTTTCTACAAACTATGAATACATAAAACCAGGCTTACTAAAGTCAGAATACAAGTTGTATATACAAAACACAATAACAGTCAATCACATTTTACTAGCATTGTTTTCTACCTGCAGCCTCTGCTGACAAAAATCAAGGGAAGCAAATGATACCCTGAGACTCTGAATACTCACTCAATTGCAGGAAGAAGATAATGCTTGCGCAAAGACTCAAAGTAAGGTCCAAGATTGGCAGTGCCTTCAATAACGAACACAACATCAGCAACCATCCCGATAGGTTGAGCAGGCATGTCCAGCATTGGTACCACCATCTCCTTCAGCTACCATAATGTGAGAACATAGAAGAGTAGTAAAACAAAATATTAAAGACAGAAGCTGGCTGAAATAAATGAGTATTTATTCAGTATTAAAAGAGGACTAAATGCTGTACAACATAAGTGAAGTATCTCTAGACAAGAAAATTATTTACATTAGACTAGTGAAAGAAAAAGAAAAGTAGGAGACTAATAAATGAAAATGGAATGAAAGCATATGTAAGAAGAGACAAAATGGACTACAATGGGCATCATTATCCCTCATTTGTTCAAAGTAAAAATTCCTGCTACCCAAAGCTTTACCTCTAAATGTTGCTTTACTACAGAACTAGCCTTCTGAGCCTAAGATTATGAGGCATGAGTGAGAACCCCCCAAAATTATCAGTTCCAGTATTTTTCACTCCGTATGTTCAGAACACACGGAGGGCTCTGGGCAATGTTGATTTAGACCATTTAATTCCCAGAGCAGTTAACAGATATTTATAAGAAGCTTCCAAGAAAGGAGGAACATAACTCCCTCTTATTCTTCACCTTTACTACCTGCATCAAAAGCTATTCCCTTAGCCACTAGCTAATTGCCACGCCCTTTAGTTGTTAGCACGGCGCTCATGAATATACCTCCTTTTTAAAAATCAACCAGACTATTAGCTGTACAATGAATACATTGTTGTTACAATGAGTTCCGTAAATTAAGAAACTGAAAAACAAATATTAATTCCGCGACAGCTTAAGCTTTGTTTGCTCTGATTTTACTCTCAAGGCTAAATTTATTAAAACCAAAGCCACGAAAAAGGAAGGGGGTTGTTTTGGATTTGCTGAAATGAGACTATGGAGGAGAAGCAGGTAGCTTATTTGTGCCTCGAACTCGGATCTTCTTTCACTCTCCCCCCAACACTTCAATAAATGCCTCTCCCACTTTGAATTCTCTCCCCCTCCCATTTGCGCTCCCCCCCCCCATCTCCGTACCCGAAACAGACATCCGGCTTCTGGAGTTCGCTTGTTTTACAGCCACAGGAAACGCTTTCCTTCAGGTCCGCTTAGGCACGCATGCGCACATGAAAGAGTCATCAATTTATCTTTCATTCCCTCTCGATAATTAAGAGTTCTTTTACTTATCCCCTTCCTCCCCGGAAAGAGTGAACGAATCACAGACCGGTGGGAGGGGGCAAAGAAGAAAAGAACCAATCATGCATGAGCACTTGTTACCATAGCATCGGCTGTGCTTACATCCCGGCATACCGTGGATTACTCAATATGGCGGCAATGAGTTCTGAGAGAAGGAATGTGGTGGATATTAGGCAAAAAGAATAGAAAGATCGGAGTTTTACATTCGGTAGAGTTGCTCCCACTGCCAGTCTAGTGTGGAAAAAGACTGCCAGTCTCAAGATGTGGGAGGAGGCGGAGAATTCCGTGACCTTGTTGTGCCTTACTGCCAGTAGTGGAGTGCCCTTATACTGTAGGAGCAGAGGAGGGTCTACAAAGCAGCAGGTGAGAGGTATCCATCCTGCTTTTTGTTCCAAATGATAGCAAATGAGCTTTTTTTAAGAAATATTTGTTTTGTGGAGTTCTCGGTGTCTTTTGAGCAGGGTTGTTTGCTTGCAGTTATCCAATAAGTAATATCAGTGGTAGTGAATGTGGAATTTACTCCCTGTTCTCCAGCAGCTAACACTCAGATAAGCAGGGATCAACATCAGACAAACAATCAAGCAGAAAACAATATCCTAATCAAAGAAAAAAACTACACCCTCACCAACTATGGCAGGGCAAGTTACTGTATATAAAAAGGTAGCAAACTCACCCTCACTAGCACTTATGACATAATGAAATTGGCAACCAAACAACCAAATTCAAAGAGCAACAGGGACTTCCACAGTTCAACTATGAGCTACATATATTCTCTTCTATTGAAAATATATGCTTGCCAAAATGTTGCATTAGTCCAACAGTCTAAGAAGTTTAGTTGGGAACAGTCATAGTTCAGTGCTCAAAAACTTAGATTTTTTTAAAATTAAACTTTTTAAAGCTTAGCATGATTAAAAAAAACTCGGAAGAATTAAAAATGCTAATCATCCAGGTTATGAGGATGGGTAAAATGATATGATTAGGGGACTGAAGGCTAAAAAATATAAAGAACAGTTGCTGGAGTTGGGTATGTCTAGTTTAATGAAGAGAAGGACTAGGGATGACATGATAGCAGTGTTCCAATATCTCGGGGATTGCCACAAAGAAGAGGAAGTCAAGCTATTCTCCAAAGTTGGACTATAAGACCTCCGAGATCCCTTCCAACTTATGCTATGCTATGCTATGTCCCTGGTTTGGCAAGGGCTCTGCCATAATCCATTTTGCTAAGAGTTTTCTGTTAAGAAAAGTGAGGGAAAAGCAGTAGCAAATACCTAAATAGGTAGTTCAACTGCCTGGCTGTCTATTGTCATTTTATATGATTTTGTATGAATATTAAACTAATGTTTATCTCTTCTTTCCCAGTTACCCTTTTCTGTAATTGGCTCCCTGAATGGGGTTCATATGTTTGGTTCCAATTTAGATGTCCAGCTGATAGCAGCCCGTACAGAGAATACTCACGTGATGTGGAAAGTGTTTCATAATAGGTATGCAGAATCAAGAATATGCATGCCCCCAATTGCCATGTTGCTAGGAGGCGGTTGTTTCTTCAGTAGGCATTAATGATTATCGGCTAATTTTTACAAGAATTAAAAATCTTTCAGATTTTAGAACTTATCCTTAGCATCAACAATTTTAGAATACTGAAAAATTCAATGCTTCAGTAATTGCAACACTGATATCTAGAACCTTTTTCTAATAATCAGGATGCTAGATATCTTCATCCAATGCAAATCAACTATTTTTAATTGACCCTGGTCCTTCTGGTTCTGATTTCCTGAATTTCTCTTAGTATGAAGTGTTCTAGCCCTCTCCGTACCAAATCAAATTCTTGAAGGAGAAAATTGTGTGATATGGAATTAAATATGCCAGTAACAATCTGTTTTATAGTTTTTGCTGTTTTCCCATTGGCTGTTGATAAACATGGAATTATGTGAAATAACACATGATCCTAATGGTACTCAATATTTATTTTCTGGAATATTGGCTATTACATAACTACTTCTGTCTTGAATAAACTGTAAAATCAAAACATTGATATACAAATAGCCACAATTCAGTTTAATTTTCTTTATTTAGATTTTCCAACTTTTCCAACAACATTGGGCCTTCTTATTGAAGCAGGCATTCTAACATATTGATATTATTATAATTTTTATTGCATGGTAAAACAGTCTAGAGAAAGATTTTCTTTCATTCCACAAGTTTGCTTAGGTTCAGGGAGGTTCACTTTGCTATTTCTTTCACCAAAGTGCAATTATTTCAGTTAAGGAGGAGGAATTAAAAAAGGCTAGGGTTAAGAAATTTGTTCTTTATTCTTGTGTCTCAAGATATATGTTGCCATTTTTTTAGACTTCTGATATCTGTTCTAAACTGGAAAGGCTAAAATGAGAAAGCGCCGAAAACTAGGGTAAACAGGGAATCTTATTTCATTTTCCAGTTCTATTAATCTTCAAAATGTATTTTATATGCAGAGAAATTCTTCCAACTATTTCAGCTTAACATAGCTGAAATCAGCAGTTTTTATTCATATTTTCAACTAAATATGTTTCTAGAGCTCTTAAATATCCAATATAAAATGGGGGAAAATTGGAATGCAGGAAATAAAAAAACAACTTGAGGTATAAGTTCTTATTTACAGAGTTGTTATAAATATTGTTCAGAGTGTAGATGGAAAGATAAGGTTCTAACAGAATTCTTTTCCTACTTCCATATTCATAAAGCAATTTTTACTGACTATGGACATTCCAGCTGAGTTAGAGTATTCCTAGAAATTATCAATCTCTTACAGCTATCCTATCTATTGTTAATGATTTTCAAGTTCTAGTAAGCCTTGGAGAAATATTGGGTTTCTTCTACATAATTTGAAAACCAGCAAAATATGGGAAATATATTTTTCTGTCTATTTGCTGTAAATGTTTTGCACTCAAACACTCTCTTCAATTTCTCTTTTGTTTGTTTTTCCCAGCATCACCCTCATTGCCTTGTCCTCAGAAGAAGATGCCAGTGACTTTAGTCTTGGAAGGCTTCTTGAGAATGTTTTCAATGCCATGGTGAGTGATCAAAAAATTATCTCTGTACAGGAAACTGGAAGATAAACCTAGTCTATTGGGCAAATAAATAATTCCAAGTAAAACAGTTGAATTATATGCACGTATATGTGTGTTCATATGCTTAAAGTCTATGAGCTTGTGCAGCCATATTTTTCTCATCATGGCAAATTAAATGGTGATGTATCTGGAGTTTCTTTTTCCAGTGATATAGAAGATCGGTAAGTCTATTTTTACAGGAAAAAAATGTAAGATTAAGGATAAGTATGAAAATATCTTTCTTCCTGTGCTCTTATTCTCCCTTCTAAACTCACCCGATTTCCCAAGGGCTTGTTTCTGCATCTGAATGGCATGATGTATTTTAATACAGGTACTAGTACTGGGCCTGGAGGAACTAACAAATATTCACAACATTGAGCGTCTCAAAAAGGATCTAAAGGTAATGTCTGACCCAACTGTCACTAGAAATATGAACAGAGGAGTAGGTGTATATCATATTATGAAAATGGAAGGCAAGAATGTGGGCTGCAGAGTAGATTTTACTTAGGAGATAACGAGGGATTCATTTTTTTAGGAAACGTTTGCTTTTTTGACTATAAGAGACTCTTTGATCAGTTGAGAGACTTCTTGCTGATGTTGCTTTTGTATCAAATCTTATATAGAGTAACATTTTATGCCTACTCTTTGCCCTTAGAATGACCCGCCTTTAGCTTGCAGCTTATATCTTCTGCAGGCATGCAGGACTGTATTACATCAAGAAATTCTAGCAATAGAAGACAGTGAATTAGTGGTAGCAGATTTTTCACTGTTCATTTCATTACCTAATAAACTAAATGTTTGGTATATTTTAATCCTTGGCCATTTAATTATTTCTTGCACAATTCTCTAGTCATGTTATAAACTGATAGACAGTTTCCTGGAGCCAGGCAAAAGCTGTGCTGATCTGACCCAATGTGTGGAATGCGCTGTGATGCCTTCCAGAGCAATTCTGCAGGTGAGACAATCTAATTTTCTCTTCCTCCTTCAGTATATCTCAACACATTCAGTCTTTCAGTCTGGGATTTTGGAAACTGATGGAAAAATACTTCTAAAAAAATAGATCTATGAACAATTTCTCCCTCAAAACACTTATTTTAAATTAACTTAGAAATGTGGAGTATTTCAAATCTGAAACTTTAGTTCAAGCATGAACATATGTTTTACACCTTGTTGTTGCTTCCTTGCCAAAGCAACAACTTTTCTGGATTTGTACAGGAGCTGTTCAATCACAAGAAGATATAAGTGAAAGTAAAGGAAGTGTTGATAGTGTCCACCCTAAAGTCATTTGCTGCATCTTATCATCTGTTTGTATTTATATCTCATAATGGATGATGAATTACAAATTGAGAGATAAGGGAAATTTGGAGAAGTATCTGAAGGTGAGGCCTCCTATTCTGGGGAAAAAATTGTTTGAGAGATGGAATGTAGTCATCCATAACAGAAATGCAGCAGGTCAGTGGTTGTTCAGAGTCACTATATTTATACTATTTGGAATAGTCCTGGCAACATCAGGCACTCTGCAACTAAGTACAGATTTGAGGTGCATGTCTGAAGATAAATACCGTTGCTTTGCTATGTGATGAATCCCGTGTTATCCTTCTGTAAGCAGACTAGTCTTTTAATTTATTCTAGAATTATAAGTTACAAAGGTGCTCATTCCTCTTTGCCTGCCTGTGTCCCACAATCGAGGAATTGCCTTGTCTACTGACTAGATTTCTAGCATTAGCAGGAAATACTATTTTGCTTACATTCTTATTTCCCTTCCAAAATAAACCAAGATAATTTAAAAGTAAATGGAAAACTGAAGAAAGAAGTGGACAAAAGATAATTAAGAGTTAGAAGGAACTGTCCACTTTCTAGATACCCCATCTAGTTTATAATAACGCCTGGCTTCTTATTATCTTTTCTGTCAATGTTTTTAATCATTCTAACTTTATATCCATTACTTTGCATACATACACACAAATCTTAGTGCTCTCTTGTTCTTTCCTGATCCAGGAATGCTTAGAAGCCTTTGCCTCTGCAGCAGAATCCCGATTTGGTTGTCTGCTTGTGGGTGGTCATATCTTATGTGCAACTGAACAGTGGTGGCAGCTTGCAGCCCCAGAGGCCATGCTGCTGGTGTGGCTTGTAAATTCCCTTCCTCCACACACTTCCCGCGATCTGCCTGTTTACCTTCCCCAAGGCAGTCCCACGGTGAGCAGGTTAAAAATTTGAGGAGGAAGTGAGGATACACAAATCCATATTTCTAATTTTTCCCTCTCCCTTTGTTCCAGTAGATTCCCCACCGTTTCCTGACTTTTCAGCTTGTGCCTGATATGGAAGTAGTATTGCTCTGTGGGCCTAATCCCTCCTTACAGTGTCTGACTGATGAGGTGAGTGTGCTGTATCTCAAATATATCTGATCTGTTTATCTAGAAGAGCAGTTTATCACCTTTCCTAAAGTACACTGTTGGTTAACGTTATTGTTCTGTTTGTTGTCCATTGCTGATTTACATGATGGGCTTAATGAAGTCATGCTTGATCAACAGTGTGCAGCTCAGCTCCTTCAGATTAATGGCCACAACGTCCCCCCCAAAAAAAATTTCTGGGGGAGAGGTATGATAACATTTTTCATCTGACTTTGGAGATTTTAAGAATGGGAATAGGAGCACTTTATTTCTTTGTGGCCTTTGCTCTCACTCATACCCTTTAAAGTCCAGACAAGTAAAAAAATCAACAATAGTGGCCATTTGCTGTTGACTTTTAGTGGTGTGATTTCAGTGTGCTGGGGTTGCTTAAGGGGTAGCAAGATGCCTGTTGATCTGCAGAGTTGGGACCAAATGTCTGTTGAAGCTTTTTCTTTTCATAGCTAGTTAATCAATTTTGGCAACCACTGCTGGATCTCCTGAAGGCTAGTGCCAGAGGCCCTGCTAGATGCCTACCACCTGGCATTGTCCTTTCTCCTAGTGTCCTGGGGTGAGTTTCAAATTTCTGGGTGGTCCAAGAAACTGGTTTCATTTAGGATGTGGACTGTTAAACCACTTTCCGTCCTCTCTTTTTAAAATCTCCTGTGGCATTCAGGGCAATACTTTTACCATTCTGTCCCTAGATATAAGCCATGGGCTCAATTTTTTACAGGTTACTGCTAATTAATCAAGACCAAAGGAAAAGCCTCTTTACGGTGCATCCTCATGGGGCTTCAACTGAAGGTATGGCTCATTTATTTATTTATTTTTCGAATTTATATCCCGCCCTTCTCCTTGCGGACTCAGGGCGGCTGACAATCAATTAAAAACACCAATAACAATCACAAAGTTAAAATATAATTAAAATGAAATATTTAAATTGTCTGATTAAAATATAATTAAAAACCCCTCTAAAAACCCCTCTTAAAAATTATCCTAGGCCAGTCCCGCTTGTTGGAACAGCCATGTCTTGAGGGCACGGCGGAAGGAAGGGAGATCAGGGATCACCCTGATCTCTGGGGGCAGCTCATTCCAGAGGGTGGGAGCTCCCACAGAGAAGGCCCTCCCCCTTGGGGTCGCCAGCCGGCACTGTCTGGCCGACAGCACCCTGAGGAGACCCACCCTGTGGGAGCGTACTGGCCGATGGGAGGTAATCTGTGGCAGAAGGCGGTCTCGAA